TCCGGCATCGCGACCAAGTCAAATCGCCTACTTACTCTTTTACGAGGAGCTGGTTACCCAAACATTCTTGCTGGTACCAGGAAGACTACACCAGGTTTTCGACTTGTAGAGAAGTACGGCATGCTGGTTGGAGGCGTGGACGCGCATCGAGTTGATCTTAGTGCAATGACGATGCTAAAAGACAACCACATCGTGGCCGCAGGAAGCATCACCAATGCAGTGAGAGCCGCCAAAGCAGCAGGCGGCTTTGCAATCAAAGTCGAAGTTGAATGCCAATCGTTTGATGAAGCAGACGAGGCGATTGCCGCTGGTGCTGACATCGTCATGTTAGACAACTTCACCCCAGAAGGTGTCCAAGTTGCTGCTAAAGATCTGAAGGATAAGTGGGGACGGGGTACTGGAGACAGGAAGCAATTCCTCGTTGAAGTGAGCGGTGGGCTTACAGAGTACAACGTGGAGAAGTACGTCTGCGGCGATATTGATATCGTGAGCACGAGTAGCATACACCAAGGAGTGCCACACGTGGACTTCAGTCTGAAAATCGTACCGAAGAGTAAAAAGGATGGAGGGGAGAGTTTAGCGGTATAACCTGACGGTGGGCGAAGGGGACTTGTGGGTATCCCTTACGTATCGACAGACATAGCTAACTAATTCAGTATAGTTATTTACAATATTTGTCACCTTTCGGTGGCATGACTTTCACTATGACCAATTCCCAAAACTGTCAAGCGTCCATTTCATGACCTCAGACACCTCAGACTCTTACTCTTCTAGCAAGCATGGCAAGGGGCTCGAGCAACCGCTATCCGCGCTGATCTACGACACGGCAACATCACTAATCAAAGCGCTTTTGTAGTCACTGTCTTCTGAAAATCGTCCCACAATGCCAACATCGACTGCAATACGTGGCCCTCTATTCCTTCGGCTCTGGCGTCATCTAGCCGCTTTGCATCGCCTCCGCGGTCTGCGTCAAGCCTTTCCGACCAATCTTTCTCGTGGCTCTCGCACACAAGTCCTTTAATCTTCGGCAGCCGGTTGGCCTGATCACCGGTAAGAGGGTCTTGGTCCGCTTCGCTGCATCACAAGGTTATATGGCCGTCGTCCCGGTCATGTCTGCTAGAACAACTCGCGCGTCCGCCGAATCTAAGCGATGGTCTCCACATACGCCTTGCTGCGCCTTCAAGTGCTTTCATATGTCTGTTGCGCGTTCGAAAGCTACTCCTGGATCGTGCCGGGCTGGTGTACACCATGGGAAGGTCGACCACGCTGGCTGGCAATGCCCTTTGCGCCCGGATACTCAACAAGCCAAGGTCATACGTTAGGATCAATCAAATCCCTAATTTTATCCAGCAGTGGGTATGCAAAGCCGAGTAAAACATCGTTACTCTCTTGGGTTGCGTTGGCAAGCGCTGGCGACAAGTATAAAGTTACGCCCGACGCGGTCTTCAACTAGACTTCATAACGGTGGGTCTGCTTGTGGATCTGACAAGGCCGTGCCCAATGAGCGCCTTCCGCTTTCGCAGAAGGCTTCCGCGAGAGTTCAAGCATCAAAGCTCCCGGCCCTAAGCGAACTACGTTTGCTTCGCTCACCTTCCGTGTGCGCCGTAGCCCAGGCACGAAGGAACGACGTCCTCTCGCCTCAAGCTCGTGTTGTAAATTATTTTGCTTGTATCGCATGGAGCCAAACCGCTTTCTTACCGCCATGTAGAGCTTCGAATCCTACATCGGGTACACCGAGTGACAGAGCACGCATGCGCCCCATCTCGCATATCCATGGATGTCGAGGCGTGGAAAAGACAGGTACAAAAGGGTGAGCTGTAGGCACCCTCTTCGCATCACCATTCTCTCGTCCACAAACTTCAGCTTAATCAAGCCCTACAACATCATTGCTCTCCTCGCTTTTTCAATATGCAATATCTCAACACCATCCTCGCTTTCGCTGCTGCAGTGGCAGCTGTCGACATCAAGTCGCACGGCGAGTCACACTGCAAAGGTACCGAGAGGGTATATGTGAACGCCAAAACCAACCAGTGCTATGCTGGTGGCGGGATATCCTACGCTTGGTCGTTCAACGCTATTCCCACAAACTGGAACCTGCAGACTCGATCCCACAAAGACGGAAACTGCAAAACGCTAGTTCACGCCTGGAACTCGAACGGCGCACGCACGGTCTGCCATGGCGCAGCCGTCAACAACTTGTTGTACACAGGTGCTGGATACAGCTTTGCCAGCAAGAAGAGGTCGGAAGACACTGTTTTCAACAGTGAAGACTGCATCTGGAAGCCAGACCTTATGACTCTGGGAGACGGCACAACATACAAGCTTACAGATGTTGAGGACGAAACTGCGAAGATTATGTAAGAGCAACCCTAAGCACCAGACAAGGCCCTGAATATGATGTACTAATTTCATCTTCTCATAGACTCGCATATGGTGATAACACCACAATTGCCGAGAACATGCCAAGCCTATTCGACGACTACATTACACAAGAGCGTCGCTGAGTGTGCCATCAAGATCGGTTGTTGGTGATCTCTAGTGCGATGCCTTGGCTCAATACATTCCATCCACTTCCTCCGATGCTACTGCGACAGCGCAGAGCGGACGCATTCACGACTTCCAAAGCTCACATCACACCTACTCAAGCAGGACTCCGAAACGAGAAAGCAAGCAAATGATGAAATCCGGAAGAGACTAGTCTCGCTATATATTGTTGGGATATCACACACAAAATGAACTAAATCGATGACCGGCCTACTCCGTTTCCACTTCTTCTATGACTTCCATCTCTTATCTTTTGTGACACTTAGAGGATGACGATGGTATTGCTAATGATTCTCTCTGTATTTGAGTGGTGTCAGAGTGAAGATGGTAAACCCAACAAAATGCAATTCTCTTACCTTGTACTATGGAACGCTCTCCCAACACCACGCCAACCGTCGTTCACGTGGCACATTCACTTTCGCAACACCGTGCTATTGTTAGTTTACAGCGCAATAAAGACGCATCAAGAGTTTAGATAAGTGCTAGGTTATTGTGCAGCCGTGAACTCAACAGCAACAGCATGGCATTGTGCTGGCGCGCCTTCCACCTTCCGACTTGGTATAACCAGTCCTTCCTGGATTACGCCAACCCTCTCACAATGTCGCATCACTGTGTTGTGGTCAATACAATTGACCTATAGAACAAAATCATTTCCTCTCTCACAAACTTTTCATCGTTACCACAAACCTTTGCCGAACAAACACAGGTACAAATATGCGCACGAAATTATCGTTTACTACGACCCTGGCGACTCTCGCCATCCTAGGAGACGCGCACGGAGATCATGCTAATGACAGCAGGCAGTACACTCTAACAGACGATCTTGGTTACAAGAACTTCTTTTCCGCCTTTGACTTCTTCAACGAAACCGACCCAACCAAGGGCTTTGTCAATTATCAGAATCAGGAAGATGCGACCAAACAGGGCCTAATAGGCTACCTTGAGGACACAAAGTCCGTGTTCATGGGTGTGGACTATACGATCAAGGACCCCACTGGCCGCGCTTCTGTTCGCCTTGAGAGCAAGAAAAGCTGGAATCATGGACTACTTATCGCAGATATTCGTCATATGCCTTCGTCGGAATGCGGTACTTGGCCAGCCTTTTGGCTTTTATCGTCTTCAGTGCAATGGCCGAACGGCGGGGAAGTCGATATCCTCGAGGGTGTTAACGACTACGAAAGCAACTCTGTTACTTTACACACAACCAAGGGCTGTGTTGTTGATAACTCGACTGCGGCTGGAGGAGGATTTGGTGCTGTAGGTGGTGATAACAATGCGCCATTTACTGGTCTTATGAGTACCGACGACTGCGACGTCGCCGCTCCTGGCCAAGAGAAGAACGTCGGATGCTCTATCCACGCTCCTGACACCATGCCTGGTATCCAAAGTGGCGGCGGTAGCGGTAGTTCCGACAATACTGGTGCCGCGCCTCTCGCATCTTATGGTACCGATTTCAACAAAGCGCAGGGTGGTGTCTATGCCATTGAATGGGCCGCCACCAGCATCTCAGTTTGGTTCTTCCCCCGCGACTCCCCGGGCTTCACGGATAACTTCTCTTCGAACACCACGGCTCCTGATCCATCAACCTGGGGCACTCCTATGGCGCACTTCGGTGGTGCTGGCTGCGACTTCTCTGAGCGCTTCAAAGATCTTCAGATAATCTTTAACACCGCCTTTTGCGGCGAATGGGCTGGCGCCGAGTGGGATAAGTCTTGTGCCAAAAAGACCGGTGTTGCTACTTGCAATGAGTATGTACGCGATAATCCCCAAGCTTTCGTGGAGGCGTATTGGGAAGTGGCGGGATTGAAGTGGTTTCAGAAGGGTGCTGCGTAGAAGAGGAATACTGTATGTCCTCCTTCTAAACTTGTGCCAATTACACATGGTCCAGTTGTCGATGCCAAGACGAAATATTGGTGATTCAATTGGTAGATTGACCATATGTTTATCAGCCGCATGGGCGTGTGTCAAAGCCGCGAGCTTGTCTTGTTTTCTATATCTCTCAGCTTTTCGCGCAACCTTGGCAATATGATCTTGACGCATGACTCCCGAACGGCCGTTCATCCTGAGATAAACTCCCCATCTTGGTTCCGCCGAGGAAACCAGATTGTTGCAGTGCATAGGGTATGCCGTTTGAGCCGTGATGGTTGAAACGAGCGTTTCCCAATCGATCTAGCAGTGTAATGGCTAATATTGATCATAATTCTTGACAACCTCTTCTATTTGGTTTCAACAAGCGTACGTAGTGATACAACAGATGAAAAACGTTGCAGTCGGTTGGAGAAGGGTTCATCTCACGCGTCGCGGACGCGTCAAACCGCGGGATGGTCTAGCCGATACAGGTTAGAGTGGGAATCGTTTGTCTGCAGCACTCTCACCGCAACATATCGCAACATCAGAATCGTCCCCTCCATGTCGGTATCATCATTTGGCGCCTTCTCGAATCTCTACTTGGCAAGATGGCTACTCACGGAAAACAATTAAATGATGCTAAACGTCTGAAGCTACCAAAGACCGCGTTTACCCTGAGCAAACTACCAGAGTACGAGCTCCTTGACGCTTGTGCTCATGAGAACCTACTGACTGTGAATAGTCTAACTAGCGATATCGTTCAAGTGAGGTTTGGACGCGAGACTTACGACTACTTTAAGCTTCCCGCAAAGGTTGATCCACGTCAGAGCAAAATAGATGATTTCTTCTGCAAAACCCCCAAGACCGATAAAGCAGACAATGCCACGAGCAAGGTTGACCCAACGGGTGCTATGGAAGTCAGCGAGAACGAATGGATGTTCGACGTGCACAAAAATGTTTTGTGTGCAACGTCCGCATTCTTCCAGGCCGCTACAAAGCAAGTATGGCGGGGCCAACCTCGAAAACCTATCGATCTTACCACGGAGAATGGAGCAGATTTTGAATGTTATGTACAATGGTTATACAGTGGCAGAATCGCGATATCCTACAACCCAGATCCTCAGCAGAATGACTTAGACGGTTCATATCACCCTTTGGACGACCTCATGGACCAGTACCTCTTCGGGGGTAGGATCATGGATCCAACTTACCAGAATGCTGTCATGAAGGTCTTCATAGACTGCATAATTATGGGACTCCGCTTCGAGGATGGAAATGCGTACGCGATTCAGAAAGCGTACAAAGGCACTATGGCCGATGATCCGATGCGAAAGCTGCTTTTGGATTGGTGGGTTTGGACAGCGGATGAGACTTGGGACGTTTCTGATATCATTGAAGATACGGGCAAAGAATTCACCCAGGAGTTGCTGGCTGCTTTGCTGGCGAAGCGGACACATCCTGGATGGTTTGGCAAAAATAGGCACATGAGGCCATGGACTGATCCTCAAGCCCAAGGAGCGTACTACCTTAAAATTGCCGATGGCAAGAAGAGCGTTACTGCATAGCGAGATATCGACATACACCGGTGGCGGACTGCTACTAGATTCATATCAGTATCCGATACTTAAATATCACCATCGCCTCACATCTTGTAGCCTACGGGCAGAACTGCGCAACAGTACACACAGACTTGTTTCCATCCAGTGCACGGATGGATCACCATGAGTACCCTGGTCCCGATCCGGCCGTAATCGCTTGCCCAAGGAGCAGCTACAACGCAGCCCTTCACTACGTACAAATGCGCAACGCTAATCCCAGAACCTGATTAGCGCCGGTGCGCTCTCACCTTAAGTTGTCACTTACCGTAGAACCCAACACCTCGAATTTGTTACGCCTTCAATCGACTACCAGAAGCTAGGCTCGTCAACCATGGCGCCCCCAAACGAGCAACCAGCGAAGCGCCGAAAGCTTCTGCCTCAGGGCAGTGCTAATTCTCGTGATCTCATTGAGTAGGTTTAACATACAAATGGTTGTTGGAGCAATTCTAATGCGGTATAGTGTAGGTAGCGAGATACTCATGGTCAAGGTTGGGGGTGGCGACGACCCTGTCGAACCGAACGTAGCAGGCGAAAATTGCGACAAGCCCGAGCACAGCAACGAATGGGACGACAGCGATACCGACTCACACATTTCCAAACAACGCATCTTCCATATCCACAAAAGCGTTCTCTGCAAGACGTCCGCTTTCTTCCAAAACGCGACGAAGCCAGAGTGGTCTGGTCCAACACCGCGCCCTATAGATCTTTCCGACGAGTGCCCTGATACCTTCCATTTGTATGTGCAATGGTTGTACAGTGGAAAGATTGCCGTCAAGACCAAGCCGCTCAGTGACTCGGACACGGGAGATCGCAAGCGGGAAAGTGTGAATCAGCATTCGATGATTCAGTCGTACGTTCTTGGAGAAAGGCTCATGGACCCCACATTTCAGAACGCAGTACTGCAGTGTTTGATCGAGTGCGTAGAGCAAGAAGACAGTTATCCCGGCGACCAGACTATCAAGAAGGCCTATAAGCGCACGACAAAGCACTCGCCTCTTCGTAAATTGCTGGTCGACTTCTGGGTGTGGCACGGCGACTCTGAGTGGGCGGCTGATGACATGAACACGAGTCTGGGGACCGAATTCACGAACGATCTACTTAAGGCTATGCTTGAACTGCGTCCTGGCCCAAGTGAGGATGCAGAACAGGTTCAGCCTCCTTGGCTGAACCATCCAGAGACCTACAACATAAAAGAGAACAAGAAAACGGCCAAGGACACCAGCAACAGCGGAGACGTTGCCAAAGAGTAGCGTGGAGTGTGTCAGCGCATACTGCTGAGATCTGTGAAGGGAAGAATCGTGCGAGCCTCTTCAGAATTCACTGAGATGGTAGATTACTGCACATGGGGGGATGACTCTTGTAGATTGATGCAGCTTAAAGCTTTTGTCGGCTACTTTGCACGCATATTGCAGGTTAGAGTAAGGGCATATAACTGACAATCAATGAAGAGTATTATCGCTGACGGCTAGCATCTGCTCATAACTTCGGTGCCATATTGCTTTAGATCGTATATCTGAATCTCGGGCTGTCATCGCCCATCTCTGCAACATCCTCATCACTCATTCCTTCAATGAGATGCTCTTCCTCACCCTTCTCACGTCTCGAGTTGATGCGCCCAAGATGGAACCACATGACAGCGTAGCATATACAAGCAAAAGCCACCATAGCCATAGTGATACCATGACCCTTGACGAAGCGGGGGCGATCAGCCGTGGGATAGATCTAGCGATCCGTTAGCAGCGTTTCCACATGGAGCCAAGTAATTATGAATAGACTTACAAAAGCACTCATAATACCCGCACAGTTACCGATGCTTAACTGCAGCCCTGTCGCAGTAGTCCTCTTTCCATATCGTGGCAGGTTTGTAGGTAGCCAAGCTAATGGCAGACCAACACAGACATACAAGCCCATTGCGACAAGGAAGCAGCCAGCGTAATGAACGCCAGAGCTGGCATCGCTGATCAACATGGCGTATCCGACGATACTCACCACACCGAGCAAGATGCTGTAAAACCCGCGCTTTTGCTGTTTATCGGAGAAACGCGCTACGACCAAGTAGGTAATTGCACCTAGTGCATAACACGGAATCGTAAGGACCTGCACCATCGCGCTGCTGGCGGTAGTGTTGATTGACCTGATAATCGTCGGCAGGAAGGTAGAGTAGCCGTAAAGCATGGTATCGCTTCCGAACTGCGCAAAGCAGAATACCCAGACTTTCCAGTCCTTGACGCACTTCCTTACATCCTCCCAGTGAAATTCCGCTGCTTTCTTGGTGTACCCTGTCTGGCGCTTGAGGCGAGCGGCGGCGAAAGCCTTCTCTTCAGCGGTGAAGAAGTAGGCAGTTTCCGGGGTGTCCGGCAGGATGAACCAGGTCGCGATACCCAGGACGAAGGTGGGAATACCTTCGATGATCATGATCCAGCGCCATCCGCGCAGGCCAGCCGTACCATCCATATGTCCAATAGCGTACGCGAGTAGTCCGCCACAGGCTCCCGCCAGGGCAGCAGAGACGAAGAGGTATCCGATGCGTAGAGCAAGTTCGCGCTTGGTGTAGAAGAATGTCAAGTAAATGGCCATTCCGGGGAACAGCCCTCCTTCCACGGCGCCAAGAAGAAGACGGCATGCAATTAGACCACCGTAGCTCTGCACGATACCGGTCAAGGTCGCGATGATACCCCATGCGACAGTGATAAAAGCTATCCATCGCGAGGGCGTAAGTTTCTTGAGCACCAAATTTGATGGTACTTCGGACAGGATATAGGTGACAAACAGAATCGAGACCGCTGTCTGAAACTGAGAATCTCCCATGTTGAGGTCTTCCTGCAGGCCATAGAGACGCGCATTACCGATGTTGACTCTGCGATCGCGTAAGCAGGGTTCTGGTACAAGCTGCTGCAGACTCCAGACCGCACCAGGCCAGGAAAGACTGCATCAAGCAAAAAGCTTCAACTCACCTGTCCAGGAAACTGAGCAAATACAACAGCATAACTACCGGAATGACGAAGAGATCCAGCTTGCGCACAACCTTTGCTTCCAAAACCGGGTCGATGCCCTCTAGCTGCCGCCCAATCTCATCGCTCTCCTTCGCGGCAGCAGGCACAGCCGGATCGTACTGTTTCTCGATGTCGCTCATGGTGTCGTGAGGCGTCCTCGCCTAATAGTGGCTCGGAGAATTAAGCAACAATGATGATCGATGACTCCACGTGAGGAAAATCGGCTGTCGCGTTAAAACCGCAAGATTGCGGCAAATGCGTCAGGAAGGGATGGTGAAGAAAAGAGCAGCGAGCGTCGCGTTCTTAATGCATCCGGCCGAAATTCTGATCCGTCATCACGTAGAATCTCCACGACTTTGCCACGGAAGGGAAATGCTCATGCTTTAAATTCGTCGACGGCCTACGGCTTCGACATCGGACGAGTCTGCAAGGGGGCCCACTCTGAACATGTCGCCCGCGGGCAGATCCATGGCGGGGGGCTGGAGCCAATGGAGCACGGAGCTAACGGTTTGTGGTATGACGTTGACGACTACCCTGCCGGTAACACAGATACGACTGCTGGGCAACTGATAACGAACCACACGCGTTGCTGTGGCCTATTGCCTGCCAATGTTCCAAGGTTGGGGGAGATATCAGACAAAGGATGGGGGTGCTCGCGTGCCCTTTTGAGGGAAGTGGTGGGGACAGGCATCCGGTGTGGTTTGGCATGTTCGTCGCGTTAGTCCGCTGTCATGCATCGCTTAGGCAATGCGATTAGTCCTGTCTGACCAAACAATTGCTCCAACAGGACTTGGAGACGCGATTGCATCACATCACACTTTGTTGTGCAGATCAGCGCTGATCCTGAACGCGTTCCACAACACGAGCTAATCACTAATTGATACCATTTGAGTGGGGATTGCCATTCTCAAGCAGACAGACGCCCTCATACCAACTCAGACGATGTCAGCGACGGATAACTAAAGGGCGTCGTATCCCAATCGATAGGCAGTACGATGCCAGAGTATATGTCGATCTGCGCTGAGGGATCAACAGGCCACCCCAAGTCGTCGCGCGGAAAGTCGATCTCAGCCACTGCAGGTTCCATATCCACGCTCACGGTATGCTGGACGCAGGTACCGGCAAGATTTGACCGTGCGATCGCACGAACCTCCTTCGCCATTTTCATTCCAAGTGGCCATATAGTTCCCATTGTGTTCAGAAAGCCGATGCTGAGACGCACACGATCCCGCGCTATCGACAGCGCGTGCCCATCCAATAGATAGGTACATACAGACACTTGTGCTGCCGCGAGTTGCGCGGTTAGGCACATAATAAAAACATTGTGCTTTTCGAGAGCGCATGGTATTGCGAGGAGTTTGGTATGCATTTCGGTCGCCTTGAGCACACGTGCGGTATGTGTGTTTCGCCCAGTCTTTGGTGTCAGCGTAAAGGGAGAAGGAGGCAGAAAAGACTGCGTGGTCATCTCTTCAGGAAGGTGAGGTAGTGACGAGAAGGGCCTATGCAGTGTTGAGATGACTCTGTCTTTGTTAGCGTAACAGTAGCAGTGCATGAAGGAACGAATTACATTGCAGCACACATATGTGCCATGTACCTGTTGTACGTATCGTTAGCGATCATGTTTTCGTCCGGCTGACGGTGTGGCATACATCACCTCATCTACTTGACCATCTGGTCGAAGCGGGTCTTTCTTACAAGCCGGCAGCATCGCCGACCAAATCGCCATTTTCATGTCGCAGTTCTCGGTCATCGTTTCGCTAAATATAGCAGTGTCGATAAAAGACTTCATGGCTGGAACTGTTAGGCATCATACGAAGTAGATAACGGCTTTCATTGGGTACGTCCACCTGTGGTCTGTACTTACTGCCAGCGATGACCATTCCGATGTCGTAAAGATATACGATTGAGGAATAAACAATCTCAATTTCTGCGAACTCACGGGTCTGGTACTCCGCCCACGTCATCACAGGCGGGATGTTCTGCTCATGTCAGCTCTCACCTCTATCTGGGCAGCATCTCGACATACCCCTGACTCAAAGTATTCATCATCGCATGGCAAATCAACGTTGTTCGATGTGAGAAGTAGTGTGTAGAAGGGCGTGTTGGTGACAAGGGCGAAGTTTTGATCCACAATATAGAGTACGTAAAACGTTCGCCTCCAACACTCTTCCAGTACACCGCCACCTTCCCCATACGCTCGAGCAAAGTCTCTTTCGTTCATACGCAATTCCAATGCAATTGTGATAGCTTTATCCAGATGCTTACGAGCCTCGGCTCTGGAAATGCTGTGGAACTCAGCGAGAGCAAATAGCAGCAGCGCTTGAACATTGAATGGTGTATGCGCCAGGTCGGGCGACGTGACAGCTTCTAATGCTGTCATGTGGTAGGGTTTCGATGGAGTCCAAGGGGCGTAGATTGATCCGATCCATTCCAAGACGGATATTAGTGTGGTCATTCCATGGTTCCCGTGCAGGCGCCTGGCTTGCAGATAGTGGAGAGGCAGTACAACTGGCCATGAAGACCAGAAATATTCGAAGTACAAATCGATGAGTCGTTCATTGTCGACTTGGAAAATCATTCGACTTTGCTGGGTAACGTTCCGTTCACGAAAAGGTATGGAAGAACCTGATGAACCGCTCTCAAAGGATCCCAGGCTAGACTGGTCGGATGGGGATGGCGCTGGTAACTGAACTTTTCCGCTGGTCAAGTTTTTGGGTTCTTGTTGCAGTCGTAGACGTCGCTCCGCGAGTGCAGCTTTGCTGAGACCTCCTCTTCTAGATTTTTGATAGATGCATTCTTTCCCGTCGCGCCTGCATCGGTTGCAGGCGGGTTGTGTGGAGTCACACTTTACGTGTCTATTGCGGCACTGGATACAGGCCAGCACTACTCGTTCAATTCGTTTCGGATCCGACGATAGCTCCATGGTTGAAGGAAAACAAGAGGAAGAGCGTAGGTTGCGATGGGATCACGGCCGTAATTGGGGACACCGCCAAAGGAGATCTTGCGCGCCAACCATGGAAGGTCAAAGTCAAGATTATCCAAAAATAATCATACATTCCGGTGAGTGGAAGACGAGCACGACGCGTAGGGCTGATCTGACTGGTTACACAGCGTGTCAAGTTGGGCGCCTGCCGAGTCGGCAAGAGTCGGATGAGCATCAGCATTGGGGGCCGCTCCCTCTTCATTAAGATGTTACGTTGAAAACCACAAATTCTCAACACGGTTTAGGCATGAACAGAAAGCACTCGGGTGCGACA